ACCCAACCTGTTCTGAATATATACTTAATCAAAATTAAGTATAATTAAACTTATTTAATTCTTCAGTTGTGTTAGCCACATTTGAAATATTCAGTGGTTGTGACTGGTAGTAACTAAATTAGCACAAGTGTTAATACCCACCATATATGCTCTATTTTTTTTAATAAAAATGGAGACATACTATATATACCACTTCCAAAGGATTTTTTTCCCCCACACCTTATCCATTTAAATCACTTTCCCATCTTGTATTCCCTACCAGATCCCTGAAGGGAGAGAAATTTCAGCAAGAGTAGTTATATCAATAATGTCTGTGAATTTTTTTTTCCCTCAATGATAGGAAGGAGATAAATTGACCTAAGGCATTTTGTGTCTGACAGATTTTCAAATGACCATCACCAAAAAGTAGATAATAACATGAACTCTAGGTGCAAACTGTTCAAATAAATGCCTGAAGCTAATTAGAATGGATTATTTCAAATACCCTTTTGGATGAACCTCTTCCTTTTTCAGTGCTGAGTTCTTAGAAAAGCTTCACCAGGAAATCAATGAGATTCAGTTTTGCAATATTTCGTTAGTAATCACACTAGCATCAGAAAGTACACATTATAGGTTATCTACCTGGAGTCTTGGTTTTGCAATATAAAGAATTCTGCTACTGTTGGGGTTTTTTTTAATCAACCCTCACTTTTTCCAAGGCTTCCCTGGTGGCTCCGATGGCACCGGAGACCCAGGTTTGATCCCTGGGTTGGGAAGATCCCCTGGAGAAGGAAATGGCAACCCACTGCAGTATTCTTGCCTGGATGGCAAGAGGGCATGGAGTCTGACAGACTGTAGTCCATGTAGTAGCAAAGAGTCGAACATGACTGAGCCATTTCACTTTCTTTCTTTCACTTTTTGCAGAGCAGAATCACTAGATCAGTAAAACAGAAATTTGGGGAAACTTATTTCTCATCAATTCAGCTACCATTTTGATATTCTTCCTAACTTGGCTGTGACAGGACTACAAGCTCCTAAATCTGTTATTTTACTCCTCCCATTTATTAAAATGTTATCACACTTCTAAGGATGCTTTTTGACTTTTCCTTTTAAGTACATGATGCAAATCAGAGGGTGTAGGTGGTTTTGGGTAGTGGTTCATTATATCTCTGGTAAATTACTAACCAGAAATGATCACTTTTTTTCCTGTATGGCTTTATATCTTTTTTAGTGTTACTTTTAATAAAGATGACATAGGGATTCTTTGCAAAGTAGTCTTATCTTCACTTTAAATTGACCTGCTGCTCATCATTTCTGTGTGGATATCTCATTTCTCTGTATCTCTGAGAAATAGTGATTTGTCAATGATTCTGATTGCTTTTATATTTTCCATTGTGCCTTGAATAGGAGAAGGCAATCATACCCCACTCCAGTACTCTTGCCTGGAAAATCCTATGGACGGAGGAGCCTGGTAGGCTGCAGTCCATGGGGTCGCTAAGAGTCAGACACGACTGAGCGACTTCACTCTCACTTTTCACTTTCATGCATTGGAGAAGGAAATGGCAACCCACTCCAGTGTTCTTGTCTGGAGAATACCAGGGACAAGGGAGCCTGGTAGGCTGCCCTCTATGGAGTCGCACTGAGTCGGACATGACTGAAGTGACAGCAGCAGCAGCAGCAGCAGTGCCTTGAATAATGCTAGCAGGTACTGGTGATTCAACAAATACTTGCTAATTTTAAACGAAAGAGAATTGAACCAATGGTTTCCTTTGCCTGGAGTTGGCTATAACATGTTGGGAAAAAATATTGTATTTAATCTCCGTCTCTTCTCATGTGTTTATGGACTATTTTATAGCCAAGGAACAAAACTTATATCATTGGCCGCACTGTGATTTGGAGGCTTCCTCTGCTAGGCAGTTTACAGAATTAAAACTCACGCCAGCTGGATCACAGGGCTTTTCAACTGGCTCTCCCTTGAGGAAGGGGGAACAGGCAAAATGCCTCAGGCTCATTGAGCTCCAAACGGTGTGAGTTCCCTGATGCAAGAATAGCAGCTCCTTCTTCCCCTACCCCAGTGAAAATCATACCTTGTGGCTATAGCCAAAGAATGCATAAATATTAGAAACGTAGAGAGGGGTTTTCCCTAGGAAAATATTGTGAACTTCAAAAACCCTATAGACTAAGGTGCAATTTAATAGATGCCTCTGAACAATGCCTGCCTCTAGTTAGATTATTATATTAGGAAAGGGAAATAAAGGGATTTTCTCCTGCTCCTATCTGGCACATCACTGATAGATTAAAGTACCAAACTTTGTGTTTTGGCGCTCTCTCCTCTTCCAGTGACATTTTATCTCCTTCAGGACCTAATGGAAGAGAATCCTCTCATCTAGAAGCTGCCACACAGAGCTCTCATAGTTGAAGGGGGTAGCTTACAGTTGAATCAGCCCAGGCCAACTAACACTCTGTTCATGTGAAGGCATTAGAGAGAGTTCACCAGAGGAGTGCGAAAGAGGGGAGTACACAGGGGACCACTTTCACAGTCATCCCCACTGAGCCAGCAACAGTGGAAGGGGAGCATTCATCTCTAAGGAAACACTTAGCCCTTCCTGGAATCCAGCCACATTGCTGTAGCTTCTTCTCTGCTCCCACCACTTGTTAGAGCCCTAGAGTTGAGGGGTCCCTATGCTCTGCTCTCGATGGCAGTGAACTACTCTCTGTGGGAGGACAGCTGTTCCAAATAACCTCCTATTCTGCTGTGGGGGTGTGCCAACAGGTTTCTGGTTCATTTTGCTTTGTGGATTCCAATTTGTTTCGTGAGATAGAATGTGGCCTGTTGGAGATGGATTTGGCTCCTAAAGGAATTGTTGTGATCATTAGTTCCTTATTTGGGGGAAGTGAAGTTCATTTGTAGGCAGCAGCTTTCAAAAGTTTTGGGGATGGGTGGAGGCCAACTACATTTCATCTGAAGCAAAATTCACTTGTCTCTAGCATCTGGCAAGACTCTTTGAGAAGTGTGGAGAGGTGACTTCCAAACCAGGGAAGCATCCTTCTGAGAAATGCGAACCTGTTGATATCCTTGTTTGGTCGCGGGGCATACAGGGCTGCCTCAGAATGGGATTCACTGTTAGGACCTGATATCAAGAAAGCATGTGCCAGGGGAGGCTTCTTTAACCTGCCACACAGTGTGGTAAGGCATCGTGAGTGAACCTGGCACTAGATACAGAGTCCAGTTCTCAGAGCTTTTCTTCCTTAAAAAAAAGACTTTTGAAATAAAATTTTAAAGGAAGTACCCAGCTATCAAGAGGGTAACATTTTCAACCTATAACATGTTTGTTTTTAGCCTCTTTATGTATTCCCATAAGCCTATTTATGTATTCCCATAAGATCTTATGGGAAAACCTGAACAAACTTCTTGGCCAAACTAATATTTCTGCTGGAGACCTCAAATTATGAATATAATGGCCTGTTCATCTGGGAGTTAAAGATCTTGGGAGAGAGGCTCAGAGAAAGTAGATGAGGATGATGCAAAGCCATTAGCCCGTAGCCTTCCAGATTAAGACTTTAAAACACAGGTGTCATAATAACCCCAACTCACATTAGTGTGAACTCACTGTTGGCAAAGTGTGTTCCTCTATGATGTCACACTCAATCCTGTGAATGACCCTTAGGGCACTATGTGAGGGCTGTTCTCATGCATGTGGGAACACAAGAGAGATTCCATTCACCTAGAGATGTTTTCTTAAATGTTTTAAGAACATAAAAAAATGATACAGAATTTTTAAAATGTGGCATCACCCACTGTCTAGAAATGAAAATGTAGAGCGTCAGACATTTAATACCTATTCAGAATTACACAGCCGTTACCTGGATCAAAGCCTTCCATTACCCATGAAAATAATCATCCGTGTTCATCATTTCGGTTTGATTAGGGGTAATAGAAGGACTATTCCATTGTTGTCAAGAATGTAATAAAAATAAGTCCAATAAAGGCACTGATGGACCTCCCAGTATGATGATCATATCTGCCTGAATAACTTGTAAAGAGCTGTAATTTTATGGAAATATTGCAGCTAAGATTTAAAGTACTTGGCATTAGTCGTCAGATGTAGCAACAGCTCTCCAAAGGGCAGTCTGCTGAGTTCATTTTAAGGCAGCCTAAACTTGTCTCTTTAGAGATCAAGGAGGTGGACATCTGGTTTATTTATTTCAAAGAAGCTTCATTTCCTCCAGGTAAAGGTGTGTGCTAGCTGAGGCATGTTGACCTGTTCCCGCCATTCATAACACTGAAGGGTCCAAGGTGTGGCCAGGCTTGGGATTCCAAAGTTAGCCCGCAAACTGACCCTTCCTAGAGTCTGAGGTGCTCACATTCCTGGGCTTTTCAGAGACCTCATTCCTTCTGCAACTAAAACCCACAAGGACACCAGGTGTCTCAGGGGAGGCCACTTGGAAGCACTGGTGTTTTTTTCCTTTCCACTTCCCACCTTCTCCCTGCAGCCTTCTAGTTAAGCCTCCTTCCTATGGCTCATTAGTACAGTGTTTTGAGTGTTAATTGAGCTCTTTTGTTCACTGGGAAACACGTTGGAGAAGTTTTAGTTTGCCTGAAGTGGGTTGTTTTGTTTTTCCTTTTTTGGCCTGTCCAGCCCAAGGTCCCTTGCTTATCGATACAGCTGAGGAGTTCCTATTTCCAGATCAAATTAAAGTGAACCATGAGCAATGCATGGGTGTCATTTGTTGTGAGGTCATTCTATAGCTGTTGGCAAGAATGTGGAAATCTAGTGTCTATGTTATTTCTCAAGGCGAGCACCCACCGGAAGTAGAATGTATTACAACCTGCTGTTTGTTCTCATGAAAAGTATGACAACCTGAGCCTCTAGGGCAGCGAAAGACTTATGAAGATTCCTTCTAGAGCTGATGTGCATGTCAACTCATTCCTGATTCAGCCAGTATTTAAACAATTTTTGATGAACATGGTCTGCTTTTAATTGCTTGGCTTAATTTTATTTTTCTTTGTATGATTGCAGGTCCTACAGGTATGGATCTCTGGCAGCTGCTGTTGACCTTGGCAGTGGCAGGCTCCAGTGATGCTTTTTCTGGGAGTGAAGGTGAGTTCTGCTTTTCTATTCCCATTCACAGTGTTTTGAAACCACTCTGAACTTTATTTGTGAAATCTAAGTTCTTTGGGTGATGTAATTAAAAGAGGTAAGTTTTAAGTAGCAGTAAATAGAAAACCTGTTGTAAGTTTAAAATTGCAAACTAGGAGGACACCTCTGGGGATGTTTTAGGAGAAACACAGTGGTCAGCCTTGGCAGCTGATGTTTCCAGGCCTCTTGGTCTCAGGCTCTGGGAGAAAGATTGAAATTGCACCGAAGGGTTATTCACCAACTGATCACTCAGTTCATCTGTGACTAAGGTTACCAAAGCCTGTTTCCAGAGTTTAGATGTAAGGCCTTTTAATCATATTCTCTGAGAGTGGAAATTTCAGATTTCAAATAAAGTTCACCTCTCACTCACTGGATGGTTACTGTTTGGCTAAGTTTGAAGGAAGAAACAGCTGAAGTAGTTGAATGATGTGCTCAGATGTCACAAATTTCCTTGGCCATCTCTGTAATTCTCCCTTCTTCTTTATACTCTCTTCCTATTGGAAAACTTGTCATATATTCAAACTTAGGACTCAAACAGTAATAACTGGAATAGGCGAGTAATGAAAGGGAATGAGAAGGATTTTTCTGCCCTGAAAGAAAACCATGCTCATAATGAAGTGGGAGACTTTTTAAAATATCATCTTGAGTACTTGATATTTTTTTCTTGCCTGAGCGTCAACAAAGGAAAGGAATCATCTGTTTCTCCTATTTTATGATACAACAGTCACTTGTGGCTTTAAGAGCGGCCAGCTCCCCTACTTACCAGGCAACTCATGTTGGAAAACACAGTTTAGCGACAGAAGTAGTGCCTTAAAATGTCCTCCCTGACCTTTGAGCCAAAAATAAATCCCTAGTAGTGAGCTGCTGAGGGCAACCAAAGAAACTAAGAAAACAAGAAGGGTAAAATGTTATTTTATCTCCTTAAACAATTTAAAAATATTTATAGAACAGAAGTCACAATTGTTTGAAATATTTTGGGGTCTCTCTGGTGTTATAATGTCAACATTATGCAAGTCGAACATGGAGGGAATCACAGGCTCCGTGTCAGCAGCTTTTCCCATGGCTGGTTTTAGATCCTGGTTCTGAGCCAAAGATTTACAGCTGAGATCCTGTGCCATTCCAAAGTCATGGTGGTTTAATCTCTACTTTCTTCATTAAGGTGACTTTCACTCTACCAGGCTAGGCTTGAGGAATTTAAAAGACTTGTGAAATGATAAGTATGGCAAAGGAACTCTAAAGTAAATTTAAAATGTATGCCTGGCTAAAAAGACTAGAACTCAAATTACATTTTTGACCTAGAGAGTCTGCAAACAGCATATATTTCAACTGCTTTGACATTTTAGTAAAACTTTAACTTCGTGGAGGAAACAAAACAATTAGCTGCTTTTATGTTTGCTTTTTTTTTTTTGCTTTTTGGGAGTTTTTTTGTTTGTGGGGAGCACAGAATAAGAAAATGCAAAGTTTATAGTAAATACAAATTGTATATTCAACCGTACTTACAGTTTAACAGTACTTGCACATACTAAGTAATTTAGCAAAGGGAAAAAAAAGTTATTTTTTTTTTTCTTAACGGGCTAACCAAAATTCCTTTGGAATATGTGGCTAGTCCAGAATTCTTAGCTTAAAATGGCTGAGGATTGTTAAGGACAGGGTATGATGTTTATATAAGAAGATGCAGATGAGCCTGTTTGAACATGAGCAAGTGTGTGTGGGTGTGTGGTGCTTGCCAGCTCTGGCCATTTATCTGATGGGTTCAGCCAGAGTGATCTCCTAACATGACATGAATTGAATCTCAGATGACCTTCATGGGCCACGTGTTTTTTTTTTTTCCTGCCAGATCTGGATTGTACCCAGATCACTTTATTTTTTCTCCCATTGTATAAGGCAGACTAAAAATGTAAGAGAGGACTTTGAAAAGAAAAAAAGATGTTTCTTTAGTTTCACCAGCCATTCACTGAATCTAGTTTGGTCAGTGGAAGAGGTGGTGCTGCTGAGCAAGCGATCTGGGGAGCGTCACCTGGAGAAGAGCTGCCCAGAGCCTGGTAGAAGATGGCAGATCTGCATGCCCAGGGAAGATTGGCACTTGAAGCCTTGAGCAGGGCTTTTCTTGCTTGGGTAGATGAGCCATTAAAAATATACTGGCCCTGAGGGGATTTTTTTATTACATCTAATTGGCCTATCCGAAATTTAATGAGAACTAAGCTCGGAACAGTGCCACCATTGTATTAGCTACAGTGTTGGAATAGCTGCTTTCTCTGTCTTTCATCCTTAATACATGATTGACTGGGGGATTTTGCAGTAACTAACGCCTGTGCTAGCGATGTGTTATGTAAGTGAATATTGACACACTCTGGTCAATAATGTTCGGGCAACAAAAGTTGTATTACTAGGTCTCTGATCCATAAGCTGTTGATATTAGTCTTTATATATGGTCCACAAGGCAGTATACCTACTCTTAGGGAGAATTTCTTTTTTTTTCCTGGATGTAGTTTATTTAACTTTTTAAATTAAAATATAATTTAAACTTATAGTTCATTTACAGTTCATTTAAAGTTCATTTATAGTTCATTTAAAGTTCACTTACAATATTACTTTCAGGGGTACAGCATAGTGACTTGGTACTTTCATAGATTATATTCCATTTAAAGTTATTGTAAAATTACAGCTGTAATTTCCCAGATGGTGCAATGTATTCTTGTGGCTTATCTATTTTATATATAGTAGTTTATACCTATTAATCCCATATCGCTATGTTACCCCTCTTCTCTCCACTCTCTCTACTCTTCACTACTAGTTCTCTCTGTGAGTCTGTTTCTATTTTGCTATATACATTTATTTGTTTTATTCTTTATATTTCACAAATAAGTGATATGATAGAGTATTTGTCTTTCTCTGTCTAACTTTTTTCAGTAAGTATAATACCCTCCATGGCCATCCACATTATTGCAAATGGCAGAATTCCATTCTTTTTTATGGCTGAGTAATAGTCCGTTGCATATTAACACATATATGCATCTTGTTTTATCCATTTGTTGATAGATACTTGGGTTGCTTCCATGTCTTGGCTATTGTAAATAATGCTGCTGTGAACATCAGGGCACCTCTGTCTTTTCAAATAAGTGTTTTCATTTTTTCCAGATGTATACCCAGGAATGGAATTGATGGATCACATGGTACTTCTATTTTTAGTGTTTTGAAGAAGTACCATACTGTTTCCATAGTGGCTGCCCCAATTTACATTCCCACCAACTATGTAAGAGGGTTCTCAGGGAGAATTTCTTATTCCAAAATCAGAAATGAGCAACAATGCCCCATTTTCAGAGAGCTTCACAGGGTTGAACTGTCAACTGGTTGCCTTAAAACTGCTGCTCCTGTGATAGTGATTTTAATGAGAAATACGCATAAAGATGTTATGGATATAAACATACTGCTGAGGAGCACCTGTTATATGTTGTTGTACCTCTGCTCTTTCTGTTGGTCCACAATTGAGCATCCTCTTGACCTCAGCAACCTCAGGTGAGAGCAGGCAAGCCCTGCCGTGAAGAAGTTCAGTCTAGCTGGGATGTGAGGAACCTGTAGGTAGTAATGAGAGACGATAGGTTTAAGGTCTAGATTATGTGATTAATACAAATGACCAAGATGTTCTGGAAAAGAATAGATCAAGGTGGCTGGAACAGTTTAATTCAACAAATTCAATGTACGGATATTTCTTCAGAGCTTCTCATTTTTAAAGATTGAACTCAGGGCTATGAGGAAGATAGTGATTCTTCCTTCAAGGAATTTATCATGACTTAAGAGATCAAGCATATCCATAGAGAATGACTGTATGAGGGGGTTATGTACGGAAACAGTGGCCTGAAATGCTGTCTTTAAGAGGAGTGAAGAGAGGAGAGTCATGTCAAGCTGTGGTGAAGTAGAGGGGACTTCCCAGAGGATGGTGGTGTTATTTCAGCAGAAATGAGAATACCGGGTTAAGATTTGAAAGGCTAAGAAGAGCAGGCGTGGCTGCAGAAGTAGCATGTACGGTGATGAAACAGCAGAAAAAAGTTCTCAGGTGTAGATAGGCGGCAGACGTGGAGAGCAAGTCATCTGGTTGCTGGGCTTACACTACATGCAGGGAGCTGTGCTAGGCAGTGAGTGGTTCTGTTTCACACACAGCATCCAACAGATGTTTTTTCAGGACTTCCTTTGTGGAAGACGTATAATTAATTTAGTCAGAGTATACGCTATGTGAACACCGTGTTTGTAATTATTCCCTTTCTATGTAAACTTAGGTCGATGAATTCAAGATAAATTATAGAAGGTCTAGAGATGGCAAAAGCTTCATGGAAAAGGCAAGGCTTGTTGGGCTGGGAAGATGGGTAGTATTTGGAGAGGCTTACACCATATCCAGCAAGTCATAGTTCCTAAATTTTAGGCCAGGTAAAAGTGTTCATGGTGGTGCATTTTGTGTGTGTGTGTATGTGTGTAGTATTTATATATAGCATATATAGGGAATTCCCTGATAGTTCAGTGGTTAGGATTCGTCACTTTCACTGCCGGGGCCCAGGTTCAATTCCTAGTGGGGAAACTAAATCCCATAAGTCACGCAACTTGGTCAAAACATATATACATACATACGTGTGTATGTGTGTGTGTGTAGGGCATGGTTTGCAGACAAAGCACATCATTAGTATCTTATAACTCTAAATATCATTACATTAAAAAACTCACACTAGGAGTGAGAGACCATGTCCCAAAGGAACCAAGATCCCTCAAATAGTATTTTCTATCTTTGAACGTTTTTTGTAAACTTATGCAAACATACACAGCACTTTTGTGAAAGAAAAGACGCCTCTGGTCTAATTGCTGACAATAGGAAATAATGACCCAATGGCAAGAGCATTCTTTTTTTTTTTTTAATAAACCTTTCTCTTTCATGCCCACTTTCAGGCAAAGCCCCACAGAGCCCTGGGAGCTTC